CCCCGGCTGCAGGTGGAGAGGGGCAGGCGGGGGGGGGGGAAGCTCCGACACTCAATGCACCAACGGGAAACTCCCTGAACACCAGCACAGAGGGGATTTAACACACTTGGATTTATTCCATCAATCATTCAACGCTTCAGACGGGACCCCAGGGCACACGCTCCCCCAGCCGCTCCGCTATCTGCAGCCACACTCATCCACCACCATGTCCTCGTAGTGCCTCAGCACCACGTTGTCGTTGTTATCGTAGTAGAGGATGGAGATCGGGGACAGCCTGACGGGGACGCAGCAGGGCTGGGGGGTCCCCTCCGGGTCCAGCGAGTGCACCATGGTTTGGAGGATGGCATGGTTGGTGCTGTTCAGCTCCGCTGTCAGGGGAAAGGGGCACTCACCCAGGCAGTAATTAGCCATGTAGCCCTGTGGGGCGATGATCCAGTTCTCCCAGCCAACGTCGCTGAAGCTGATGTAAAGCCGCCTGGGCTTGCAGAGGTTGCTCGGAGTGACGGGGGTGTAGTGAGCACTTCTCCTCCTCCTGGAAGCCTTGCACTGCTGCTGGCTGAGGGTCACCACCAGGAGAGAGGTGTCCAGGAAGGAGTCGATGCTGGCGCAGAGGCTCTGCAGCCCCCGGCTCGCCAGGGCTGATGCACCATCGCCGCCGCTCACTGAGATCTCCAGGATCAAGCCCAGATTCCTGCTGTACGTTCTCCAGTCCTTCGCCACCCCGCTCAGGTTGAAGAGAAGAGACTTGTGCAGCTGGGCGAAGGACTGCTCCACCAGCAGCTTTCGGCCGTGCTCGTAGGAGGGCATCCCCCGTAGAGACATCTGGGAGGTTTGGTAGAGCCTCAGCTCAAAAACCTGCCCCTGGCTGGAGGTGTGGTAGGAGTTGTGGCTGAATTTGATCTCTAGCTGAGCCATCGTCAAGAGCTCGCCCTCCTCCAGCACGGAGAGGTTAAAGTACAGACGCTTCTGCAGACACAGCAACCTCTGGGGCTGCCCGTTATGAATGAAGTGGCCTGACAAAGAAGGAGAAATAGAGGTGGTGGTGGTTGAACTCTTGTTACACTGAGCAGGATCAGCCTCCCAGTGCTCCAATTTAAGCTCTTGGCTGCACAGCAAGAGGAAGGCTGACAGAGGCGGGCAGCCAAGCACGCCCGCAGTCGTTGGATCGAGATGACAGTGCTGCAGTAAGGGCTATCAGCCCGATGGCATGGCCTTCAGAAAGGTCTGGAGGCACAAACGCTAGCCTGGGCTCCAGCCTGCACCACTGGGATGCTACAGCCATTCCAGCATCTCCTCTAGATGCTACTTAACATCTTGGTGCGTTATTTTTCCCCAGCTGTAAATATCTCCCCCACAGGACAGGGGGGTTGTCATGGGTGCCGGCCGTTTGGGATGGAGGGGAAAGGAGGGCAAATAGCAGCAAACTTTAGGAGCTGGTGAGCTGCCTGTTTTAGCCAGCCCGAGGTTTCCGCTGGAAACCTGGAACCACAAGAGAAGTGAGCTCCGTGGTGTCTTGAGACCTGGAGGACACCGACCAAACAGTTCCCATATAACTGAGAACGGCTCAGAGAGGCCACAGGCTGAAGCAGCCAGATGTGCCGCATGGTCGGCCAGCGGCATGAGGACAAAAAGGAGGAGGGGGGGGGAACACAGCCAAATGGCCGAGCATCCCGTCCCCACCCAAAGCCGGGTGCTGGTCTCACTCGCTGCACCCACAGCCATGTTACCACTGCCCAGGCGAGGAGTCACCTCCACCACTGAGAGCCCAACGGGTCAAGCCAAGTCACCTACAACCAAACCAGCACCTCTGGACTGCTTTAGGTGACTCCAGGACAGATCCTTACACAGCTCCACACCCTCACCCACTGCCTTGTTTACCGATTCATTTCTAAACTGCAAATAATTATCTACAACATCCAGAAGGACCAGAGTTTACACAGCAGTGACTTCTCTTAGAGACTGATTCTGGCCACTGCCCTGTCCTCCCCCAGCCTCTCCTACCTACACCCAAGAGACAGAAAAGGAAGGACTGGAGCAAAGTCTCCCAGCCCAGAGATCAGAGGGGCTTCCAAAAGACAGGACTCGAACCACGGCATTTCTGTACCTTGGTCAGCGAAGACACGGATGATGTTCCCAGGGACATTAAATTCCTCCACCCTACAAGCATCTGCCAGGTCTTTGTTTGTAGAAGGCAGCGTCTTTCTCTTCTGGAAGATCCTCCAGAGCACAGACGGCACAGGAACGGGGGTTTTGGGGCTGGGCTTGGCGCTCAAACCCAAGGATTTTAACAGTAAACTTTCCTGCAAACTTAACTCCATCCCCAGGACCACGCTAAAGAGAGCCCAGGCAAGGCCGGCCCTAAAGCTGGCGTGCGTGGGGAGAAGCCACATTGCTTTGCTCTCCTTCCCGCAGACAAAGAGCAGCCTGGGCTGGGGACCTGAAGACAGGGGCCAGGGGGGTGTTGATTGCCTGATTGGAGTCTTTGATCTGGTTAGTGCTCAATTAGCACAGAGGGATTCCCAGGATTGGGCAGAGGGTGTGAACGGTCCCTCCAGGCTCCCCGGGACCTGTTAACCCTTTGAGGCTGCATGGCAGGAGGGCAGCTGCCCTCCTCCCTCAGAGCTCCTACAATCTCTCCCACATCTCCACACCATCGAGGTCCAACAACAAAGTCCTTGGTGGCAGGGAAGGGGCTGCTCTTCCCCACAACAAAGCTGCCGGCAAGTCGAGCACTGCTCCCATCCGCTGCGGACATCCCACCCAGATCCAGGGGAGACACGGATCTGGGTCTCCTCTTGCTCCCTCCTCCCAAATCAGCTTCCCCCCCCCCCAGCCACACCATCCAACACATCTCCC